GCCATAGGTTGACTGGCTGAGGCCCTTAAACCAATCACAGTAGCTGAGGGGGAAAGTAATGTCAATGGGTTTAGAACAGTGGTTCTCAATGTATGCTCCCTGACCAGTGGCATTAACATCATCTGGGAACTTACAAAAAATGCAAATTCTTGGGCCTACTGATTCAGAAACTCTGGAGGTGGAACCCAGCAATCTATGTTTTAACAAGCCTTCCAAGTGATTCTGATGGAAGCTAAAATTTGTGACCCACTGATTTTGACCATCAGGTCCTACTCATGGAGACTAGAAGGGGTGAATCCCACTCATTTCCCTGGCCTGTCACACAGTTAGAAAATAATGGAATGAAGCCTGGGAAGTTACCATTGAAACACTTCAGAAGGGGATGGCCCTAGAAGAGGACAGCTCATTTCACTGCTGACTTTCTATGCTGAGGCTGTAGGGTAGAAATCACAGTGATGAGTACTACAAACTAGCAAATTTGTTTGAAGATTATTTCTGATGCCAATATTATAAGTCTAAGGACCTTGAAGAAAAATAATGACAAGCATCAACCCTAAGGTTGATGGATCCTAACCTATTCCCTTAGGAGAAATGTGACAAATTAAGTTACACAAATATGATAGAAGTAAACCTACTTAGCAATTAAATGGCATTGAAGAAGTCATTCTCTAAAACAGTTTCTTAATCATGACTAATTCTAAGAACCAACTGGAATAGGGTTACATATACAGATTCCTGGGCTCTACCCTAGACCAATTGAAAAAGGATCATCAAGGGAGGGGCCTGAGAATCTGTACTTTTAGCAGACATAGCCAGTGATACACATGGATTATACATGTTTGGAAAATGAGTCAAAGAGATAAAGCCAAAAAAACAAGGAGAAAAATCTCATGGAGGAATTATTTGAATGCTTCTGACTAATCACACAGTAGTTTCTTCCTCTTATTTTTTATTTTTATTTTATTTGAGACACAGTCTCCCTGTGTCACCCAGGCAGCAGTACAATGGCATGATCACAGCTCACTGCACCTTCACCCTTCAGGGCTCAAGCAATTCTCTTGCCTCAGGCCTCCCTCCACCCCCAGTAGCTGAGTCTATAGGTGCGTACCACTATGTCCAGCTAGTGTTTTGTATTTTTTGTGGGGTTTTGCCATGTTGCCCAGGCTGGTCTTGAACTCCCGAGCTCAAGTGATTTGCCTGCCTCGGCCTCTCAAAGTGTTGGTATTACAGGTGTGAGCCACTGCACCCGGCCTCCTCTACTTTCTTTAATGCACTCCCTCACTACTGGGGCCTCTAACTAATGTTTCTTCCTCTAGTCTGACTCTATCCCGCAACCTAAACGAGTTGTTTTCCATACTACTGTCAGAGTAAAAGAAACTGGATGTCAGGCCTCTGATGACAATCTATCACAAGTTCTTACTATGGTTCATAGGATAAAATCCAAAGCCTTAGCATGACACCCTAGACTCCAGCTAATCCAGTCCTTGCCTTTCTTCTTCAACCTTACTTCACATTGTTAGTCCACTTGAACCCCACCCTTGAACCACCCTGAATCCCTTCCATTGCCTTGAATACATGCTGCTCTTTTGCCTTTGTGCCCTCTGCTAACCATGGTTTTCCTTCCCTCTTCCCCTGGTGTATCAGTCAGGTTAACACTAGGTTATGCTGAGGTAACAAAATCTCAGTAGGTGAAGATGACAAAGATTTACTACTCTCTCACCCGTTCTGTCAGGGGATGGCAAGTTTTTTGTTTTTTGTTTTTTGGGTTTTTTTCTAAAGAGCTAGATGGTAAATATTTTAGGATTTGCGAGCAACGTACAGTCTCTGTTGCACACTATACCTCTTCTTTGTAAAACTCTTTTTAAACATAAAGATCATTCTTATCTGTAGGCCATACAAAAACAGGTGACTGGCTAGACTTGGCCCATGAGCCCTAGTTTGCTAACCTCTACTCTATGTGGACATTGCTAAAGACACATAGACAGCAGGTAACTACTCACATGGGTAGTTCTAAATGAATCTAATCACTCAGAGACCTGGACTAATGCAACAGCCACCTCTTAAACATTTCTTGTCACCATGCAGACAAAAAGAGAGGGTCTCATATATGCAATTAAATGCTCCAGTCTGAAAGTGGCACCCTGTAACTTAGGCTCACAAATAATTAGCCAAAGTTAGTCTTTCGACCCCATCCAACCATAAGGGGGCCAGGATGTCCAATCCTATCATGTGTCCAGAAGTAGGGAGAATTCAGATTACTGGGTAAAAATCATGAAAAAAGCTCGGAAACAAACGCTCTGTGAAGCCTTTTCTGATACTCTCATCCTGCAGCCAGAATAGCTGCTTCTTCCTTGCAATCTTATAGCACTTTAAGCATCTCTTAATCAGAGTGCTATACATAGGGTACTACAATTTGCCCACTTGCCTGCCTCCCCTACCAGATGCTGAGCTTCCTAGATAAGCACTTCTGTATGCCCACTACTTTGCACATTGCCTGTTAGCGAGGGATGCTCAGTATGTGTTGCTTCAACAAATAAATGAATGTGGTGGATTGTAGAAGTGAATGGGATTGCCTCTGCATTTACCTGAAGGCATCAGGAATCCAGCAGTGTCAACTTATCTGAACCCAGTTAGTTCAACCATTTCAATCTCCACTTATGATCAATTAGCTCAGTTAGTTCAACCACTTCCATCTCCACTTATCAATTTATCTTTTTAGTTATTAGCTACTTTCTATCATAATCAAATGCATTTCTCCATACAACCTTTTTCTTCTAATAAACAATGCCTTGCAGAGAGCTGGTCCGTGAGGCCACGGAGCACTTTGATATAATGTGGGTTGGTTTTATTTTCAGTTTACAGGCCAAAAGGCAGACACGGAGAGGCACAGTGATTTTTACCAAGTTATATGTCGATCACAGATGGAGACAAAAGTTACGCTTTATTTTGAGTCAACAAAAAAGTTACAGGGTTGAACACAGAGCTGCAGCTAAGTTCACCGAAAGTTTATTTATATCCCTTGGAGAATTAGAAAGTACTCACACATGTTTTTCAAAGATAAGTCTTATTATACCATATCAATGTATAGCTTGTAGTATACCTATATCTCTGAGAAAAGTATTAAATCAAGTCATATGCCTGTTTATTAATGCTGCCTCTTTTCCTATTGATTCCACCCATCCCCTCTACTCCTTTCCTCTTGTGTACAGTGACAGCTCATCAGATGGCATTTCAGAACCCTGAGAATATGAAAGACATCATGCACTAAGGTTTTCCCATCACATCTCAATGCCGTTTGGTGAATAACACCAGCATGCATCTTCACTACTAAATGTCATAAAAACAAATTTTAATTGTTTCACATGCAACCTGTGTGACTGCTGCAGTTTGTATCAACTATGTAACCACAGGGTAGGCAAAAGAGCATTCAAAATGAACTATAGTGCAAGATCCCCTTCATACCTAGAGTTAAGCCCTTTCAGCCTTAGCAGTCACAATCAGGGTATCTTTGGTCCCACAGAAACATATCCTGACTTGGAATTTTCCTCTCCTGTGTGTCTCCTGGATATAGTAAGTTCCTAACAAACATCTCCCCTGATTGCTAGCCTTGACAAATTTCCACAAGAACCAGGGCAACAAGAAGACAGTCAGGCAGTGCCCACTACTCTTCAGATCACCAACAGAATAGAGTCAGAATATGATATTACTGAAATCTTCCAAGTTTGAATCAAGATAAAAACAACTTTTTAAAAAATACCTAAAAACCTTTTATTTAAGAAAGTGAAATCGCTCAATGTGCCCTCCCACTCTGGTTAGATGCTTAGCAGACCACAGCAGGAGAGACAATGCACCTCAACCAGGGCTAAGTGTGCAAGAAAACTGAAGTACACAAAAAGCAAATTATAGACTCAGGTACTGTCAGGCACAAAAGAAGAATCAATCCTTTCTAGGAGTCTTGCCTTTGCTTCCTTTATTCTTTCCTCGATTCTTGTAATTGAATGTTACAAAGTATATCAAGAGGAATAAACGTATGGGGCCCGTCTCTTCCAAACAAGAAAAGGTTAAGCTTTTAATTACAGGCCCTCAAACTATCATTTAGTGCAATTAGCAATTAACTATAATCGTTGATGAGCAAACGCAAAGCTGCGCTAGCAATTTCCCTTCTTCTTATCCCAGGCTGGGTTATTTTAGTCTTGTTCTATTACAGAGGAGCAGTCACAACCGCGCGCACTCTTTCTTTCAAACACACACACTCTCTCACTTAAAGACACATTTAGTTTTTAGGAAAATGGCATCTCAGCGTGCGATTGAGACCGACATCCCAAACCCCACATTTGAGCGCCCCAAACGTTTGGAGCCCCTCAGCTTCATCACTTTCTGAGTGGAGAGAGGAGGCCCGAAGAAGATGCTACCTACCAGCCTCTCTCAGGGGCGCAGGAGAGGGTGGTAGAGAGATGATTGTTGCCCCTGGAAACTGCAAGTACCCCCCAGGTGCACGCCCCGTTAGTCGGGAGGCAGTGGCAATAGCAACGATAGTTGCATCAGCGCTAACTGCTGCTGCTGCTGCATGTTCTGCTGGCGGCTGCCGGGAGGGTACAGTAATGACTGTAGAGAGCGCACAGCTGCTGCGGCGGCAGGTTCCCTGGATCAGGAAATTAGGACAGGCACCGGGGATTGGAGACGAGGGCGGTGCGCGAGCCAACCAGCGGCCGCCCCGGGCCCCCGTCAGCTCCAGGCGGCCTCGCGGAGCAGCCGGGCCCCTAAAGCAGCCCGGGTGGCGACGGCGGCGGCAGCGGCCACAGCCACGACCACGGTCACTCATGCACGCACGCTCACACTCGCACACTCCTGGCGCGGGCACCCAGCTGCCCGGCGCGTGTAAGAGGAGCGCGTCGAGGGAAAGGAGGACTGAAGCCGCCGCGCTCCCGCCCGCCCGCCGCGCCTCCCGTTGACCACTCCCCCTCCTGCCCCCTCCCGGCTCCTCACCCCGAGCTCCAGCCGCCGCCGGTGTGGGTGCTCGGCTACCGGCTCCTCTCTGTTCTGTCCTCTCTTCTGCTCTTGGCTCCCCACCCCCTCTCCCTTCCTTCCCCTCCCCTTCCCTCCCCTCCTCTGCAGCGCCTGCATTATTTTCTGCCCGCAGGCTCGGCTTGCACTGCTGCTGCAGCCCGGGGAGGTGGATGGGTGGGTGGGTTGGCTGGTGGGTAGGAGATTGTGCAAGTTGTAGGGGAGGGGGTGCCCTCTTGTTCCCCGCTCCCTTCCCCCCCCAACTCCTTCCCCCTCCTTCTCCCCCTTTCCCCTCCCCGCCCCCACCTTCTTCCTCCTTTCGGAAGGGCTGGTAACTTGTTGTGCGGAGCGAACGGCGGCGGCGGCGGCGGCGGCGGCGGCGGCACCATCCAGGCGGGCACCATGGGCACGTCCGCGCGCTGGGCGCTCTGGCTGCTGCTCGCGCTGTGCTGGGCGCCCTGGGAGAGCGGCGCCACCGGAACCGGTGAGTGAGGACGCGCCCCTCCGCCGGCGGCCGGGACCCAGCCGGGGCACCGGGAGACCCCGAGGCGCAGGTCTCCGTTTGCCCACCCGCCTCCTAGGAGGCGCCTCTCGGCTCTCTCTCGCCTTCTCTCCCTCCCCTCAGTGGTGGCGCCTCTGAGCTGTCAGCGCCGCGGCTAAAGGGAGCCGGGCTTGGGGAACAGTGGGGTTTGGGGTGTCCTGACGCCTCGCCTGAACTAGTCTTCGATCCCTCACACCGCCTCCCCCAGAGCCGCTGCTTTGCCTCGTTTCTCGCCCCCTTGACAGGGGCTGAGGTATGTGGGCTTCTGAGCATTGAACAATGGTTCTGCCTCCTCTGCCAGGCGGAGTGTTAGGAAGGAGGTAGAGGGCCGAGACGTGCGCGGCAGCCCGGGGCGCGCCCCTCGAACCTCAGGGAGTGTGGGAGCGGACGGTGGGCGAAGGTGAGGGCCTCCGGGGACGCGGGGCGCCAGGTGCGGGCCGGGGCTCGGAGTCTTCCGGCGGCCGTGAGCGGGCGCACGTTCGGTGGGCGGCAGCCGGGAGGCTCCGCGGAGCCGCGGGCAGTGCGCAGTCTGCGCACCCAGACTGCGTCTCCCCCGGCGCGGGGCCGCCTCTCCGGCGTGCGGGGTAGGGGAGGAGCGGGCTTTACGCAGGACTGTCCTCTGGGTGCTTCTCCCCTCCCTTTTCCAAGCCTTGGGCGGCATTTGGAAACCTCTCGAGTCTCTCGTGTAGCTGAATGGGGAGGGGGAGTGGAACGAAGACTTAATCAGGTTAGTTTGCTGATCCTCCTTCCCGTTGACGTTTCCTCGAGAGGAATTGAGTCCTAGGCTAGTGACTGTAATTAGCCTTCATTCTAAACAATAAATCAAAAGAACAGCGCGAGAGCGAGTGTGTGGCCCTGTCTTATTGAGAAGGGCGGTGGTGACTACTGTCGGGTCCCTAGAGTCTGCCGCAGGGGCTTGGGGGCCCTGCCTGGTCTTCAGCCACGTTCCCACTTGGGGCCTCATAACTTTCCTGGACAAGCGACAGGAAGCCCTTCTAAGAGGACTCAGTCAGAATCCTAGCGCGTCCCAGAAGTGATCTTCAGATGTGACGCCAAGGGGCTTGTTTGCCAGCTGCGGGGAATTGAGACTGAAAGCTGCCACGGCCCGAAACACCCATTCCAGAGTCCCTAGCTCCAGTAGCCAGGTGGCTTAAGGGGCCCTGCCTGCCTGCAGTCACGTGCTCCTGAAGTGAGAGCGAACTTTAAAGTATGTGGTCAAGGAGCCTCTCGGGCAATGCCTGGGGTTTTTACGTCTCTGAATGCCCCTGCCCTTTAGTTGCCACTGTCCGGAGGGTGTGAACTGGGATTGGCCTTTCTGCCCTCTGCGATTGGCTGGCAGTGCGATCACGTTTAGGTTGGTCACATGGTTCCGCGGACTCCTAAGCGAGCAGCACGGGAAGTGTTATTTTCAATGGAAAGTAGGAGACTCCACAGGCTCCTCAAATGCCTTCCCCTGCCTGGACTCTTTGAAGAGGACGAATGTGTAGTGAACATGGAATCTGATGTGTAACAAGCCTGAGAGCCTAGAAAAGCTCTGCTTACAAGAGTTTTCAAACGCTAGCATTAATCATTAATGGATGAGTAATACTAACTTCTTAAACGATTTCTCAGTATAGTGCCATGACTTGCATTATGCCTTTTGTAACATTTCAAAACACTAAGGTATACCAAGAGGAACAATTATCCAGGAAGGTGAGAGAAAAGTTTCATTTTTGCTGCATGTCCCTTCCACTAGAGGTTAACTTTACCTTATAGAATGTTAGGAGTGCACCTAAACTGACTTGAGTTAGTCAAAGCCAGATATTCACCTTGTATTAGGCAGGTGAGGATCCTCTTTGTCACATGTGAAATATTTGACATGCCATGGACAATGGAAAAAACAAATTCTTCAAAGGAAAGGAGGCAGATTCTTTCAGAACTGAAGAAAATTTGGGCTGAGGCAGGTATTGACTCTAAACCAATCCCAACTGGCATCTGTCTTAAGTTCAAAGTCCCAGGGCATGTGGGCTCACTTCCTACCCTGGAGCTTCTACGCATACCCTGTCTCTCCACTGGCACATGGTGCTGTTCCATGGTACTCCTGGACAAGGCAGGTGAGCACTGAGACTCTGGCAAGGAACTTAAAGCTATTGAGAAGTTGGTATGTCTGATTGCACGATTGCTGGGGGTTCTAGGACATTTTCCTCCAGCCTGAGTAGTCAGGATTAAGATCTGTGGTATGATATATTCTTGAAGGCCAAAGTCTAAAAATACCAAGGTTTTGTGAGAGCTATTCATATATGGCTAGCAACTAGGCTAAGAGTAGAAGGAAACTTCCCTCACTGTGAGAAGTGGGTTGGTGTTACTGGTGGTAGTAACAGACCTGGAGGGAAGAAACTGGAAGGCATGGAAAGTAAACTTGGCTCATCCAGATAGCACCAATGAAGGTATGACGATAGTAACCCTTATCAAAGCCTGATCACTCATGTGAGCAAGGACTGTGTAAAGGAAGGTCACCAGCCAAGCCCTCCTTGGCAGTAACAGCTTCTTGAAACCTAGTGTAGCTTTGTTCCCTGAATCATCCTCTTGCCCACTTTATGTGGCATTTACCTATAGTGCCTGTCCTGTGTCGTTTTGATTGTTTGCTTTTATGGCCTGAGTCCCCAGATACCTAAAGCATGTATAAAGGTCAAGTAGAGCTGCCAATATTAAGACTTTAGTACAATAGACTGCTATTTAACACTAAATGTTGCTAGCAAAGGTGACAGCCTCCATGCTCAAAAGAAGTGAAGACCTGATCCAAGTGTCTCTACCTGTCATAAAATTGAATAACCATAAACTTGACTTGACTTGAGTAGTTTTATTACAATTTTGGAAGAGGAAAAAAGTTGTTACAAGCCTCTTCTGCTCCAGGAGAGGTAACAAACTGATGATACTTAACAAGAACTCCTAGAGTAGAACATGACCATAAGATCAAGGGAACAGATAGTACCCAGCCGTATGGTTTCAGGTTTTGATCCCAAACCTTGAAGACTTGGCACACAGCATAGAATTCATTTTAAATATCTAGCCCATTTTCTATTTCTCACAGAATGTAAATAAAGTCGTTCTTTTCAGTGCATGGAAAAGTGCTTAAAATGAGGCAGTTGCCTATATGACTTAAAGTAATGATTGCATTCACTTTGGATACTGACTTTCATTTGGAAAACCACCTTCATATACTAGCCTAAGAAATGAATGCATTAAAGGGCTTGATGAGGTCTATAATGATGTTCATCGTAAATGTGCCTGCCTTAGGGAGTTCCTTGTGGTGGCTAATACAACTGCCCTCTCCATGGTTGGTTGACTAAATTCAAAATTGCTTAGTTTGGTCCCTACTAATTAATTAATCTCAAAAGACTACTTGGACAACAGCATGATAGACTACTTTCAAGGCAAACAGTCCAAAAATACCGTCTACTGAGGTTATGGGCGAGATAGACTTGTTAAGCAGAAGTAAGTAGTCCAGGGACAATTTGGGACAATTTTTTCTGCCACCTAAGAGTTTTGGGCTAGAAAATCTGAGGACTGACAGTTCTTCTGAAGAGCTGGGGCAGGGTCTAACCTAGCTATAGGAGAATCTGGCTTTTAAGTAAAAATCATCTCAATTTTACTCTCTGCATTTTTCAAACTAAATCGGTGTCTCTTTGCTAAGTTCTTCTATTGGCTTGCAACAAAAACTCTAAACACTGTTAATACCACTTAGTTAGATACTCTAACCACACTGCAGGAACCAAATGAGATGGCAGGTGATAACACAGGTTGGGTGTCCCGTATCTGAAATATTTGAAACCAGAAGGGTTCCACAGATTTTAGATTTTTTCAGATTTTGGGACATTCACACATACATAATAAGATACCTTGGGGATGGGACCCAAGTCTAAACATGAAATTCGTTTATATTTCACATACACCTTATACACATAGCCTGAAGGTAATTTTATAGAATACTTTTAATGATATTATACAAAAAACAAAGTTTTGACTGCAACTTGTCACATGATGTCAAGTGTGGAATTTCCACTTATGGCATCATGTTAGCACTCAAAAAGTTTTGGATTTTGGAGCATTTCAGATTGTGGATTAGGGATGCTCAACCTGTACCATAAATTTAGCATATTTTTCCCATTGAGTGAAGTCTCCTAGGAAAGCTTGGCCCAATAGTTTGTTTGTTTGTTTGTTTGTTTGTTTGTTTGTTTTTGAGACGGAGTCTCGCTCTGTCGCCCAGGCTGGAGTGCAGTGGTGCTATCTTGGCTCACTGCAAGCTCAGCCTCCCGAGTAGCTGGGACTACAGGCGCCCACCACCATGCCCTGCTACTTTTTTTGTATTTTTAGTAGAGATGGGGTTTCACCTTGTTAACCAGGATAGTCTCGATCTCCTGACTTCGTGATCCACCCGGCCTCCCAAAGTGCTGGGATTACAGATGTGAGCCACTGCACCCGGCCCCAATAGTTATTTTGGGTCTCTAAGCAAGATAATGCCTGCTAGGTCCTGTGAGGGTAAGTGTGGAGATTCTGTTAGAAATGTTGCAATGCTTGCTTAGAGATCCTTTACCTACTTTGTAGTTTAGAGATGCTGGAAACTATAAGATGGAGCCTCTGGCTAGAACAGCTGATTTTGCCAACTTGGGGGGCATCTGGGTAGCCTTTATGTATATAGATATGGTGGTGGGGATGGGGGGACTTGCAATTTGCCAAGCAAGGGACCTAACAAAGCCTTGGCGATAGACAGCATTTGTGATTACATCATATGTCAGAACTTAATAGTTCTCCCACATACTGTGAGTAAACAGGGTTTCTATTTTATAGACTGCCTCTAATCTTTCATTTTCTTAAAGACTTCCCCAGATCTGAGGTATTAACTGATCTATATGTTCACTAAGGTTGTAGATTGATGCTGGTCATCTTTGTGCATCTTCTTGAAACCACTTGATGTATATCTACTGAGTACCTACCGTATGGTACCAGGCACAGGGTCAGTGACCACAGCACTGGTTCCTTCGTTCGTGGCACTTAGTCTAGTGGGGGAATCAAAGCAGGAAACGGCCGAAGACCGCTTGGAATAGAAACTCTGAAGAGGAGTGAGCAGATCCGTTGTTTAAGACCTAATCATAAAAGAGGCAGACAGCAGCTGAAGATTGCTGGAGTTTCCGTGTGCTATCTGGGTTCTAGCTTATGAAGTTTCCCTAAAATCACCAAGAACTTAGACTTTAATATGAAAAAGCCAGTAAAGAGTCTATCTCTGCAGATAATCCTACAAAAGTGATATGATTCAAGCAACAATGGATTACTGCCAGTATTACCAAAGAGCAGTAAAACATGTCAGAAGTAAAATCTGGGTCTGATATATCAAACTCTTAACCTTACCAGTTAGCCGCTGCTTACTTTCTCAGGTGTCAAAACCTCTCTTTTCACATGGAAATGAAGCCAACACACCCAAAGGGACACACTCATTCTGACAGACAAGTGTGTGAAAATGCACTGTTTTTAAATGATAAATTGCAACAAAAAGGCCGGGCGTGATGGCTCACACCTGTAATCCCTGTGCTTTGGGAGGCCGAGGTGGGTGGATCATGAGGTCAGGAGTTTGAGACCAGCCTGGCCAACATAGTGCAAGCCCATCTCTACTAAAAATACAAAAAAATGAGTGGTGTGTGGTGGCACGCACCTGTAATCCCAGCTACTCAGGAGGCTGAGGCAGGAGAATCACTTGAACCCGGGAGACAGAGGTTGCAGTGAGTTGAGATCGCGCCACTGTAGTCCAGCCTGGGCTACAGTGCGAGACTCTGTCTCAAAAAAAAAAAAAAAAAATTGTTACAAAGATGAGGTAAAGGTACCCTCATAGGCATAGGGAACAGGGACCTTTATAACCTAGAGTGTTTCAAAGTATTCTAGCTAGTAAAACAACCAGTCACACTTGGTTTCAAGTTCTGAAAAGCTGGGGAAAATGTCTTTGACAAAAGTTTTTAGTTGAGACCAGCTTTATTAGTAAACTAATAACTCATGCACCCAAGACTACCAACTAGTGCCTAGAGAATGTAGGATGTCACGCACCAGGTCCTGAGTTACAAATGTATATTGCAGGCCATGCCTTAGGAGATCTCTGTGTCTAAAGGTGAAAAATGGTAGCTGAACTCATCTCCTTGTGTGATGGCTCTGTGACAGGGACTATTATGAGAAAGCAGCCAGACCATACCTAGTTTTTCCAAAAAAGGCATTGAGGCCTCATTCAAGAATACAATCTGAGCCCACTCCTGGTGAATGGGTGGACAAGGGCAACATGAACAAACTGAGACAAAGCAGCCATGAGGAAGGGCAAAGCCACGGGGAAGTGAGTGGGTCCCCTTCGAGCTGTTGGCTTAGCCTGTATAGCAGATGGTGGGTGGTGGCCAGTAGGGAAAAGTCTGAGGAAATTAGTAGGGAACTTAATCCTAGAGATAGTGGTAAGCCGAAAAATGACCCCATTCTTGGCTATTCTAG